CATTATATGATTAGTTTTTTTATTTAAAAATCATGTATGATATTGTATGTATTTATTTGTTTAATATTATATCATCATTACAAGCTTTACAATCATAAATTATAATTATATATGATTATAACTTAATAATATCATTTAATATTATAATTATAACATTATAATTATATAATTTCTATTCTTCATTTATTTGGTAAGAATAAAAAATCTCTGAATTACTAATCGTATCTAGTTCAAATACCTAAATTTAATTAATAACATTATAAACTAGGATTGAAGGAGGCAGATTATGAAATCAAAAGCCCCCCCCTCCCCCCGTCACCCCTTTTTTTTTTCCTTTTTTTCATTTTTAAATTTTGGGCTGGTACGATGGAAACAACAGTCTCCATCCTTTTATACACATTACCTACATGTCCCCTTAAAAAAAGTTCTTTCGCCAAGTGCTGTGAATAAGGAAGCAAGAACAGCTTTGACAATAATTGGTCCCATACAGCCACACTCCATTGGACGTGGCTCTCTTTCTAAGGAGCTGTACATTTCAAAGGAAAAGCTGGTACTCTCTCTTAAAATTTTCAAAAGGATAGTGACAAAACGGTTCTGAGAAAGCAGCATGTGGTTTTTGTCAGCAGAGTAGCTGGTTTTTCTGCTACAATTCTTTGCACTGCCTGATGCTAGAAATGACACCATTTCTTGCTCCAATAATTTTAATGGCATGAATATGATCAATGTATTGTGTATGTATCCAGTCTTATCAGGCCAAAGAGGATAATCTTTTAAAGGTTGTGGGATGAGCTATGGGACATAGACTTGGATAAATTCTTCCTAAAATGAAAATTTTTTATCTTTTAGAAAGTTGTTTTTAAGTCTAAACTGTATATATATATATATATATATTTTTTTATATGTTTGAATATTAAAATTATTAAAATATTATTAATAAATAAATATAAAAAATAATTTTATTAATGATATTTTGATAATTTTAATACATAAACTTTAAAAAAAAAAAGTGCAATTTGTACTAAAAGACATTTTTTCCTTTTTTTTCCTTTTTCTTTTCGTTATGTTGGCAGTTGGAACTCAGAGCATAGAGATTCCAATCTTTCTTGCAATTTCATCTCAATCCATTGAGTTTGCGATTTTGCAATCCATCGAGTTTGGGGTGTACGAACTACAAAACTAGAATCATCAACCCACTCCTAAAACAAAAGGTTAAACCCCATCTGATGATTAGTTTTATGTTGTTGGGTTTGAATTGCATAAAATATTTTTGTTAAGTTTAAATTAGAGAAAAAAAATTGCATGGTTCAAATTAACAAAACCAAAAAAAAAAAGTGTCAATTTAGACAGTGACAGTGCATAATTTGATTTTTAGTTCTTTTTTTACCGTTCAATCCAAACAAGATTAATATCTTATAACTTACCACAGTACTTCAAGTTATGGTGGACATAAAGCGAAGCGACGTCACTCTATCATCCTTCTAAGTTGTACCAATTGTCATATTTAAGAACTTCATCAAACGGTTCGATGAATTGCACACTTTATCGAGGGAGGTGGAATGTTCACTAGATTTGAGGATGTAATCTCTAATTGTTAATAATTAGTAAAATTAATTTATTAATCATTGTCCTTATCAAAAAAAAATTGTCATATTTAAAAAAAAAAAGAGGAAAAATAATCTTTGTGTTTCACGGTTAAAGCAAGCAATCAATCTTTTAGACATTAAGGTAAAGGAGACAAAGCATAGCTTGGAGCCAACACCAAAGCCAAAGTGTACCAAAGCATTAAAGGTGGTGGTGGCAAAACGTGTGGGGTAGGCAGCCCTATAAGAGGGACAAAGGTAAAGTTACATTCAGCATCTATACACACATAAAAGGCAGAAAAAGAGAAGAAAAGGAGAATTGGAATTTTGAGAACACAAATCAATGAGACACCCTAACCACCCATCATGTTTGGGACCTGGGAGCACCAACAAATTTCATGATTTCACTTTTTTTTTTCCACTGTTTATTTTGACTTTAGTAATTTAATTTAACTTTCTCTTGCATTTTTGGAATCTCAGAACAAGACCTATATATATTTTTATATATACCCCTTAAAAGACACCTTCACTGCAAATGGAGGGTGTTTTAGTGTCGTTATTGTTAGGGACCAATGGATACCTGTGATTTTCTGACCCACCACCAGAGTGAAAAGCTAATCTCCCTTGGGAAATTCTAATGGAGGGAGACAGGTGGGGTGGTGGCTTGGCCCTTAGTGGATAAGTTCTGGGTCACCCTACCCTTAAGAAGGCATATATGACGTGAATTAAGACAGTTGGAGATTGACTGGACAACACTACCTCAAGCCATGTGAACTACAGGGTCCCAGCTCTCGGTTCTCTTCTCAATTCTCAATGCTCTCATCTCAAACTTTACGTCTATTTATTGAAGTTAGATATGTAAGTTTCATAATAAGATTTCAATATTAAATTTTTACATTTTGAATTAGGTCACCCATGTCCTATGATAAAAGCTGTAATAATAAAAGTAAGCCTGCAATTTGATGATCTGCTCTGATATGAAATCCCATGAATTGCCAATTCCACCTACGTTCATTAATTTGCTTTAAAGAAGTGGAGGGTTAATGGGAGAGGAGCAACACCATTAATTAACCTTGGTCCCCTAAGGCATGTTTAGTTACCTCCCAAATTAGAAAGTTTTGCAAGGGAAATTATTTTTTTAAGGCAAATTATGTTGCCAGGGGAAAGTAGTTATGCAATTTTCTTGCGTTTCTTTGCTCTTTTGGC